TAGATACATCTATATAAAACATATACCTGCTATAAGTATTAATAAAAAGCTCAGACCAAAAAGGTCACCTTAATACTAAAAAAAAAAGAATAATGCAATAGCAATAGCTAGTTTACTGCCAGCACCAGATCTGGATAATACAATTTATTTAGGATCAACCTTAACTATCTAACTTAATATAGATAATAAATTAGGATTTTAATAGTTATAACCTTTTGTTTACATTGCATAAACAAGATTATTGATCAACCATGAAGAGTAACATGCATAAGTACACAATATATACACAATTATTTATTTAAGTATTACTTTTGATAATTGTTTACATAATTCTTTTTTTATAGAGTTTCTTCCTTTTATCAGGTTATTTTTATAAATTAGTGATGCAGTAGAATCACTCTAATAATAGTCATCATATTATTGTAACTTACCAAAACTATAGCAAGTAATATAATAAGTTATAGCTATAAGGCTATAACTTACTATATTACTTACTATCGCTATAGTTACAGCAAGTTATGATAATGTGATAACTATTATTAGAATAATTCTACTGTATTACTAATTATGATACAGATGGTGGGTGGGTTTGATTTTGATGGAATTTTTTGAGAGATGTATTTTATAGAGGTAGCTGTGATGTAGTGTATTAGAATTAGCCAAATTGTTCAGATAAAAGATAATATAATTTTTGTTTTTTCATTATTTCACATTAATATTTTATTAATCAAATACTTGTTATGACTTTAGACAGAATTACAAAAACTTCATAAAGAAGGTCATGAAAAACTAGAAGCATGACAGATAACTGCATAAAAACATTTTAAACTAAAATTTATTATAGAGATGCAATTGAGTAGATTTCAATTGATAGATTATTGATATTAAATGATTTGGTAAAGGATTTGATCCTATATAAAACATTTTTAACTCTATAATTTGTACTATTTATTATCTATTTTAATTTTAAATTTTAAATAATCTGAGCAATATTGGTCTAGTTTTGCTAATAAATTTTAATTGATATTAAGGCTAAAGTTGTTTATTATACTACTAATCAAGATAGATAATAATATAAATAAATAAAAATTAAAATTAAAAATAAAAAATTTGTTGTGTGTAATGCATTTACAATATATAAAATTTATTTAATATATTGTTCTTACAAAAATAATCTTTTAAACTTGATATTTTGAACACCACTCATGACTCTGATCATTTGTCATAAAATAACAAACATAAGTGTTAATTAAAATTATGCCTCTAAAAATAGCATAGCATAGATTTAAAATAACATCTATGTGCATTCTGAGATAATGCACAACCTAAATTAGAATTCTAACTAATAATTAAATATAGCCAGCAAGTTAGAAAAAATTTTATCTTTATTTCAAAATAACCCCATATGCATGCTCTAAATAATGTGCATATACTCTAAATAATGCACAAATAGGTGTTATTTCACAACAATATGGTATTTTCAGTTAAGTTGCATGCATACCATCTGTATGATATTGTTCTTTTAATACAAATGTTCATAAATTATGGAACCCACAATCTGAAGATGCAAAAATGCTAAAAAGTTATCTATATGAAATTAACAAGATAAGCAAATGATAATGCAAAATAAAAGAGAAAAAAAAAGTAAAAAAAAAACTAGTTATTACTACCTAAAATAACATCATGAGCAAAATAAATAGTAAAAACCTGTTATAAAAAGATATTGTTTTTAATTGTGAAAATAAAATTAAAAAAAACAAAAAAATAAACAAGAAGTCAGGATGATCATGAAAAAAAAAGATGACCCTTTCAATGAAAACAAAGCAAGAAATATGCCAGCGAAAAAATAAAGAACCATCTCTTAGTATTGACCAACTTTTTGCAGAATATAATTGTGATCGAAGTACAATTTTAAAGATTTTGAAAAAAAAGAATAAGTGGTTAGCTATGCAGCTAACAGAGTCTTAAGAAAAAAAAAAAACTAACCAACCAGCCAAATTTGAAGAATTAGAAAATGCTATAGATATTTGGATGCAAAGGGTTCTTTCACAAAATAAAATTCTAATGAATGGACTTCTACAAGCTTAAGCCAAAAAATTTGCAGAACTATTGAACATATTTGAAGATTTTAAAGCAAGTCACAGTTAAGTGGATAGGTTTAAAAAAAGACATGATGTTTAAAGTTTAAAATCTATGAAGAATTAAAAAGTGTATCTAAAGAAGACTTTCCTGAGCATAGATAGAAGTTAGTTGAATTACTTTTGCAATACAAACCAGATGATGTCTATAATGCTAATGAAACTGGTCTCTATTTTAGAATGACACCTGATCAGATGCTTGCAACAAAACCAGTTAAAGAGAAAAAAAAATGAAAGACTGAATTACTATCCTTTTCTGTACAAATGCTACTAGTACAGATAAACTCAAACTATTAGTAATAGGAAAATCACCAAAACTGCATTGTTTTAAAGCTATCCAGAAAGAAAACTTTGGTGTGACATATGATGCTAGCCAGAAAGCATGGATGACAAGTATTATTTTCAAATGTTAGATAAAATGTTTAAATACCTTGTGTCAATTAAAATGCAAAAAAATTTTTCTATTAATTGACAGTACATCATTTTATTCAAATAGTAAATATACAAATGTTAAACTTCACTTTTTACCATCTTATACAACACCTTATTTGCAGCTATGTGATGCTAGAATTATATATTCATTTAAATCTCACTATTAAAAATTGTATTTTTAAAGTATTTTAGATGCTATTAATGCTAAGAAAGAAATATCTTGTCTTAATGTCTTAGAAGCAATAAGGTAATATACAAACCAAAAATATTAAAAAAAAAAAAAACCAAAAAAAAAAATTTAAAATTAGTGAATCAATTATTCAAGAATTGAATTAACTAATTAATATAAAAATTTTATAAATGAGTAATAGCAAGAAAAAACCTATAAATTATGCTTTTTGAATATTGACATTGTTAAATCACACTAGTAGTATTTAACATTGCAGTTGCTATATCAAAAAACTGTCTAAATAACTAAGAATGGATGTTAAGTGAATTCAAAGAGCATGTTTTACAGATTTTTTTCTTACCATTATCCAAATTTATATTACTGCAATTAGGTTTGTTACAGAAGCATGGGACAATATAACTATCAAAACAATAATTAATTGCTGAAGAAAGACTGAAATAATGCCATCAAGTGAGTGGAGTAGATTAAATTAGAATGTTGAAGATATTGAAGCAAAAACTGAAGTTGAAGCTGAAGGTGAAGTTGATGTTAAAAGTGAAGTTAAAGCTGAAACTAAAGGTGTGTTGAAGCTGAAAGTAAAATCGAAGCTGAAGCTGAAGCCAATGTAGAATTAAAAGTAGAAAACCTTATTGCAGAAATCTCATCTAATTATATGAGAATAATGACTGCTAGTGATTATATTCAAACTGATGATAATATTGAAATAAAAGAGGTTGTCTTGAATGAAGTTGCTATTCTTGAAGAAATTCTTTCTCAATTTGATTCTAATAGTAGTAGTGATGAAAGTGATATTGAAATTGAAAAATTTTCCTATTCTGTCATCTTGAAGCAATGTAAGTTGCTTATACAATATGTAGAACAATAAGAACTAGTAAAATTTGTTAAGAATCAAGACTTACCTCAACTGTTAAGTTTGTTGAAACAAATTTGATTAAATGTATCTCAATCAAAAATGCAAAAAAAAGTGACCAATTTTTTTAAAAGTGGTTTGATTTTAATTAGAAATAGTTTAAGAATGTATAAAAATAAAATAGACTATAATACTCATGGTTTTTTTTTTTCTTTTGTTTTTATTTTATTTTATTTTTTTTTACATTAGAATTTTATTTTTCTCCTTTTTATCTATTACATAACAATATAACTTTATATAGCTTTATTATTGTTGAACTTATAGTATTTCATCACTAAAAAAAATAGAAATAGTTGTTTAAAAATACTTTAGTGCAATCAAGATCTGTAATTTATAAAATAGTTATGATCTGAATATATAATTTGAAATGCCCAAAATAATATATTAAAAGTAAAATATGAATTTAATAGTATATACATATTGTAAATTACTGTATAAAAGATCTTTTTTAATAGCAGATGCATTATTGCTATTAGACCCAATGGTAACCTACAGGATCTTTAAGGCTTTATTTATTTTTTTTATTTTTTTTTATTTTTTTCCCTTAAGCAGTCACAGTAGTACTTTATTAAACCATTTGTAGTTATATATGTAAATACAGAATATCATTTAATTTATAAGTCTACCATCATCTGGCCACCTAAACAGTATCTAAATGCAACCTGCTGCACTAATTCAGTTAAAACTAAAAATTACAACTCGTCTGACCCCCGCCTTACAATAAGATACTGCCAATCTGGAGACATCTTCTCATAAGGAAGAGAAAAACAAAAAAAAAAAAAAGATTTTAAAGTTGGAAAAGAGAGAAACGAAAATGGGAAGTAAAATAAAACTAAACAAAAAGAAAACAAAACTAATCTATAAGGAGAATAAAGAAGAAAACCTGCTAATAGGATAAAACTCTATTCTACAATTGCTGCTCACTACAATGTTTTCATATTTTTATGAACTATGGCTATTCTCTAAAAACTAGGTACTCTTAACCAGAATGAAAACTGTATTCACTTGTAGGATAGAGTTCGAGCCAGGCACTTTTCATATAGAAAAAATCTTCAAGTAGGTGGAGTACTGTGCCAAGGTTTGGAGTGCACTTAAGCAGTCCAATTCTTCATAAACTCCTGTAACCCTTTTTTTTAAAAAATATTATGCACATGGTCTCAGAATATATATATATCTCAATATATTTTTGGTCTTTTTGAATTAAATCCTTTTCTGATCTGCTTCACATAATTGGCTAACTCATGTGTTTGTTGTGTTCCTTATTTACCATGTCCAAACAAGCATATAACTACAAAAGGAAGTGATGCACAATGTCGATCTTTTGATGGAGATAAGCCAAATTCCCACTTTTCAAGAAAAAGAAAATAAAAGAAAAGATGAAGAGAGAATATATTGTTGTTGCAAGAGTCCAAGTTAAGGAGAGTTTTCCTAGTTATTCTTCTTTTTTTTCTGCTTTTAATATTCTTAATCAGAGAACTGATTTTGTCTCTATTTGCTTTCAGAATATCCTTTCAGTTTGGATGCCAAATATGCAAAAAAGTCTAGCAAACAAAAAGCTTAACCCAAGGCAAAAACCATTTAAGTTTTGCCCACTCCTCAGTGTATCATGTATTTGAGCTTTGTTGATAGCAAGTTTATTTAATATAAAACTAAGAATATTATTTACTTTGAAGCCAAAGTTTTCAATCTACTTTTGGTGCCAACTTGGTCCAGGTGATCGTCAGAAAAAGTTAACTGTTTTTTGTTTAAGGCTTTATTCAAATATCTAGACTGAATGTTAATATGTATATATCTTAAGATTCTACTTCTTACAAACCCTCGATTATTATAGTTTTAAAACTAGTAACAGACCCAGGTCTTGTATATAACGATTTATAATATATAAATATATATCATACATTCTAAAATTTATATTAGTGTCTTTGAAATATTTTCTGATTGGTTAAAACTGTTGTAATAGAATCCCTCTTTATTATTAACTTCTGCATATATCAACCAAATTGTTTAATCTAAATAGGTTGATATTAACAGAGGTCATCTGTATAATTTTAAAATTTTGTCATTTATGAGAATTGAACCCTAGATCTGCCTCTTAGAAATTGACAACCTATTCACTTCACTAGGTTATTATATCTTATTTAAATTATATTATATATTTAAAAAATTTTATATATAATATATTTGATTTTTTTTGTTATTTAATAAAAAGCACAAATTATTCTTAGTTGTGATTAGAAATATTACAGTCTAGCAAAAACTACAATCAGATCTAGTTTTTTAGAATAGTTTATAAATTAAAACTAAATTAAATAAGTTAATACTTAATAAATATATTAGTAATTATAACTAGCTTTTTCTAATATTTATAGATTAATATATAAAACTTTATTTTTATTTTTATTTTTTTTTGCTATTTTAAAAGTTCTTAAACATCTTTAGGATCTGTTATATCTCTTAAAAACCAAAGTTATTATTCTGTAAAGATTATCAGACAGCATGTAGCCTCTGTATATTACTAACTATAAGATAACTTATGCTTTATTAAGTTTATCATATAATATTCTGAGTTTCTGGTTCTGCAGTATAGGATTTACTATCTTCTTTAATTTACAGTTCTCTAATTTCATATGACCTACTAACTAGATCATTTATAAATTTCAATATTCTCAATTCTACATGTTCTTAAATCAGGCTCTCTTAATATTAACATTATTTGTTAATGAATTATATCTTATCTGATTATTTCTGACCTTGTAGCTATACTAGTTACTGCATTTTTTTTATATAAATTTTGTTCTTACTTTTTTTTTTTAAATAAAAATTTTCTGCAGATTTTTTTTTTAATTATGATTTTGACAGAGTTTTTGTTATCTTCTAAACTTGAACTCATGATCTTGTAATTAAGATTTAGAAGTACAATACTGTACTATTGACCTATAGGTCTATATATAAAAGTTTTATTAATTAAATATCTATAAAATATAGATAAAGATATTTATACACTATGATTTCAAATGATTAATAATACAACTAAAATTTAGCAAATTGATCCAAATTTAAGATTAAAAAAGTACTAATAATATCAGTTAACTATATTACAATAAAATTATCATTTAAATAGCTTTACTTAGTATATAGACTACTATTTTATTAATAAAATTTTAAGTAATTTGAGAAAAAATTTATCAATACTAGCTTATTTTGACTCAGATTTGCTAAAACTTGATTGCTTTACTAATATTAATCTAAAGATTTCATAATAATATTATATTGAATAAATTTGCTTCTTAATACTTTTAAATAAATATTTTTTGTATTAAAATAACTTTTATAAAAAAGAAGAAAAATTTTATTTTGCTTTTTGCAAATATCTTATTGATCATTATTAATAACAATAAGCACAAAAAACAAAACCAAATTACTAAACTTGGCAAAATACTAAATCAACAAAAATTTAACTATATTTTAACTAATAAACAAGATATTAAAGTTGAATTAATTAAAGCTTTTATAAATTTTTTATATTTTAATAAACATATATTTTTTAAAATATAAATTTATAATAAATTTTAGTTTACTAATTTTGCTAATTATGCTAATTTTACTAGCTATTTCTGCTATTAATAACTACTAGCTCTAATTATGCAATATGTAATAACAGTTTTATTTAATAAGTTTACTATTTCAGTTTATAAAATAAGATCAATAATTGTATTATATAAAAATTCTATAAAATAATTAATTTATTTGTATAAGTTATTAATAGTAAGACATTTAATAAAAATTGCTAATAAATTAGTTAATATTTAATATTTAGTAGATAAAAATCTACTTAATAAATAAGTTATCAAAAACTGTTAAATATCAAATTGCAGAAGAACAAGACTAAATTATTTAATAAACAAATTATAATCAAAAAATTTTCAAAAGTAATGAAGTTTAATTATTTGCTTATTTTAAGCTTTATATATATATATTTCTAATTTAATTTTTAAAAATAAATTTTTCTAAATATTCATCTAACTTAAATTACTATTAATAATAAAGTACAACATTAATCATTTTTATATATAATTAGTTGTAAATTTTTATTAGTTTTTTTTATATTTAATTTTTTAAAAAAATATATTAAATAAATAAATTTTAATTCTTCTATAAAAGTTGTAGAATAGGTTGTTCTAATTTTAATGATAGTAAAATTATTAAAATTGAGTAAAAACTCATCAAAATATGAGTTTTTAAACATTAGTTTATAAAATTATATAATAAGATTAACTTATAGATTTATGTAAATTAACCAATCAAATTATCCAATTTTGTACTATCTAAACAAATTTTAATCAATTTAGACAAACTTTATCATATATACAAATATATATTTAAAATAATATAATAGTTCAAAATTTACTATAATAGATAAATAATATGATTTATAATATTATAAAATTATTTTATTAA